TTTTTGTAGGTCGTGTTTACAATTGTCAAGTTGTCTTTTTTTCATTGAAAAGCCAGCTCCAAGTTTTAAGGGTGGACTGAGCTGGAGCTGTCGGAAGCAGTGTCTTATGATGTAACGAAGAGAGTGTCCATTTTAGTGAATTCGTTGATAGGTTCTGTAGGAGATAGCTGTCTGACATGCAGAAGAAATTAATTATATAATTCTGCTGGAAAACATATCAATTGACAGAATCGGAATTGGAAGAAAGAGAGAGGAAAAAAAAAAAACTTTCAAGTTAACTCATTGATGGTTAATGGCCCGTTTGTATCAGGGGTGAGATGTAAATCATGTTAACTGGGGGAAAAAGACATAAACCCCACTATCTTGGTTGAATTTTTTGCTAAGTGCAACGTCTTACCAACGGATTGTTACGTGTGTTCAATTTATTTTTTTCCTTGACTGCATTTAATGACGCGAACAGCATTAAGATCGCAAACGTCAAGTAAGTATTTCTCAGTTCATATTAAGTGACTTTCTTAGATATTAGTATTAGTCAGTATCATGGTGTTGACCAGGCGTGTTAACAGTTAGCTAGGTATTAAAGGATATGTGCCCTTACTTGGCAAAGTTACAGTTTTTGTTTTCAAATGATAAATTAGTGTGAGTAGTTAGAAAGCTTTCATATTAGCGTGCGGGTATAAAATTCTCTTTTAGAGACCAAGGACTCTGAATTCTTGGGGGAAGAAAAGTGGTTGTTTCATCAGTTGTAACTTTGTAGTCCAATGTACCAGTACAAACAATCTCGGTCTGAAATTCTGAGACTGGATATCAAGTTGCGATCTGAAAAATTACCTTTACTTCGAAAGAGGCCATAAAACAATATTTTTGTTCAATGCAGATGACAAGAAGGAGCTAGACGACACGAAAAAACGCTATAATGAATTATCAGAGAAACTGATGGAGAAAAATCGACAGTATCTCAAACTTCAGGTGAATTACTTTATGTGTAGCTCAGTGTCCCATAGTCTTAAAAACTGTTGGTTTTCTAACGTCAGCGTTGTGATTGGACGATTAGATGTTTTGAGTGGCGCCATGTTAATGACTTCACGATACAATTTGTGCTAATTTGCCGTTGGTGCTCTAGTGTATGAAACTTGCAATTACTCAAGTTCACACGAACTGTTGAGGTATTTTTTAACTAACTCTTGCGTTTTTAACCAACTGTGTGCGTTTTGTTTTCCGTAACTGTGCCTTTGTCGTTCTTGATATCCATACCAAAAGGAAGAGATTTCTAAAAGAATCAGAGTTGCAGCATTGAAAGTGTTGATTTTTAAACAAATCGCCATTGTTGCATTATTACTATTATTATTGCATTGTTATTTATTTTCGCGCAGATATCGTAATTTCGATTTTAGTTTTGCCTCTTTCTTATGAAGCTCTAAGAGTTAAAACAACGTAAATTTATTAGCGTACTACGATTGATACCAGGGCAATTACTAAATGTCTTTTTAATACAATTCCTCTAAAAAAGTGTCTGGTCTCTTTTTTTACTGAAAAACAGGCAATGTACGACTCGCTCAGAAGGTAAGCGCAAAGACTTTATTCAATATAACACTTGCAACATATTTATGTTACATCCAGGTGTGAGTGTGCACCTGTAAATAAGATATGTAAACTAAATGGTAAGTTTCATTTAAAATATCTGCTCGTTCAGACCAAATTGGTAGTTAGAGCGTTGGCCTCTGTTTTCCAACCTTGCCAACTTCCTAGCTCGTACTGTGTTGGGGCTAGGACGCTTTCCTATCACAATGTGACGTTAATTCGAAGAAACTGTATTCCGTCATAATGTACTTAGTTTAGGTTTGTCGGTGTTTTAGTGATTATGTGTAAATTTGTGCTTTTTATACCAGAAAAACCATAACACCATCAGTCCTAGAGGGACGCGAAGAACACTTACTTGAGTCCCGTGGTTTGGGAGGACAGATGAAGCACGTATTCGAAATACCTCTCGGAACAGGTGAAGGTAAATTGAACAAAAAAAAATATCCATGGTATACCAGACAGTTGCTTTTTGAAAACTGAAATGATTCCTTGCCTCCAAAGTATTCTGCAGAAGACATCAAATTTTATTAGTTTTATATTCTAAAAGAATGCGTAAAATTCATCACTTTCGTGGTGGGTTTTGCTTCTGCTTTCATACGGTGGTAAAATAGCGCCAATGGTGCTTCTATCATCCCGGAAACCAATACTGAGAAGAGGGTACACTTACATGACCGATTTATCCATCAAAGTTTATGCCTTTATCTGAGTTTCAATCTTACACAACACGCCTCGCATATACAGAACTAATCGAGATTATTGCATGCAAACCTCTTTTTGTGCAAAGAATATATGAAAGCTAAGTTATTTGTAACAATACTGTTTTAAAAATACGGTATCTAACATTCTCGTTTCAATAAATTTCCTTAGACTTGCTTCGACGCACTGCCAGTTCTACTGATGTCAGATACCCTGCCGAAAGTAAGTAAACGCAAGTAGCACAGTCTTTAGTAAAAATCAAAGATTTTTACAGTATTATTAAGTAACTACCCCTTGTAATGAGAGTTTTCCATTACACTCCACCTATTTTGCCAAGAGAAAAAACACTACACCATTTTCTAAAAACGGAAGAAGCTCTTGTGATTTCTTGATATAATTCTGCTTTACGCAGTGCACATTTTTGTCCTTCAGGGGAATTTCATGTATTTGATCCTCCAGTTCCGGGGTCAGCCCGAGTCTCCACTCCGAGTCTCAGACCGTTGAATGATACGGACGCAGCGTCTCGCAAGTTTACTCTTGATTTCACGGGAACGCCTGGAATCAGCAAGAGACTGGGGCAGAAAGGAAATAACAAAGACTAACTGGGCTGACTTGTGATGCACGTAGTTTTACTAACCTCTCTAAGGGAGGTTTTGGTTGAGATTTTTATCAAAGTTTATCTACCAGGTTTTTTAAAAACCCTTTAATTTACCTATGAAGGATGTAACAAATATATATATTAGGGGTCAACAATTCTGTTAAGTTGTCTGGAATGATAAAGGTAAATTAAAAAAGAAAGTATTTGGTCGCTTTAACATACCATTTGAGTCTACTTTTGTTAAATTTTTAGAAATGATTTGGTGTCTTTTGTAATGATGCAATATTTTTAATAGGATACCAAAGCCACCAAAGACTTGTCCTAACACATCACTTCTGGCTTGAAGTGTATAGTATTCGAAAGCTAAGTTCCACGGGGCAAGGAAACTTATGCTTGCTAAACGCTTGATTTCTATGTACTTATTCATTTCTTAGTCTCATACTAGAGGTACATACTAAGTACAACTAGAACGCAGGTACAAGTCATGTGATCTTTGAACTGTCAAATAAGTCATTTTCGAATATTAAAATTCCTTCATGGCGCCGAGGCTTAAAGTGATAAAGCCAAAGAAAAAACACCATGGTTGAGGGATGAGTCAATAATTTATCTTGTTTCAGTATAAATCCACTAGCGTTCTATCACGAATGCCGTTCTCTGATTGGCTACGATACTCACTATTTGTTCTGTTGTAGATAGTAAGTAGCGAAGCAGTGTGCCCTTGCTAACAAAATGACGGCCGCTTCTTTACGTTTTCGAGGTGTCTGCGAAGAAGATGTAGATAAAGTTTTGAACGACTAGTAGATTTATACTGAAACAATTAGACTATTCGCTCTCGATTTCTATGCGTGATAGTTGACTTGGATTACGCCCTCGTCAAATATCACGCGATAAAAAGTTTCGCGCTCATAATCTAATTGATAATCAGCGCCGTAAGTCGCGGTACCGTGTTAGAATTTTAATATTATTGAAGTGCCTCTTGAAAGCCTTCTAGGAGTTCTGTTAGTTATTAACTGAGGCCCAGGTAACTAACCTAAATTGGTACGTATAATTAAAAACTGTATTCAAATTGAGTTTTGTTTGTCGCCTTAAAATGTACCAAAGCAATCTATCTTTTACAACCAAAATAAGAATTCCAAAATCTTTGGGCATATTGTAGGAGCCTACAGCTGTTGCTTGATATCTAGGCACTTCAAATAAAGGACTTCAAATTATAGCTTATATAAATAATAAAGTTTTGGAAATTTGACGAGGAAAAAGGCTTTCTTTGATTACTGAGAGGCATGAACTACTGGTCGTCGACGAAAGGAAATTCTTGTTAGGCAGAACATCAGAAACAAATCCACGAACTCGCACAATGTCAGCAAGCTACATCCTAGGAAAAGCCCCATGCTTCCGCCAATATCCGCTGGAAGACAGAAAATATAAATCATTGGTAGAATTCTATTTACTTCCGAGCACTTCAAGAGAAACAAAATGTTACATGTTTCTACTGTAAGAAATGAAGTAACCTTTTGGTCCGCTAGTTGTTCAGCTTGTGAGGTATAAACTAAAACAAATATTCACCAGTGTCGGTGACTCGTGGATATTCTGCAAAAACAATTGGATTATGAGCTCAAGATTTTTATGAGGTGACAGTTGATAAGGCCTTTGGCTCCATCAAATATCACCTCAGAAATCTCGAGCTCAATTTAATTTTGAAGTAGAATGCTATCATAGTAATGAAAACTGTATACCTCAGGAACATGGTGGAAAATGAATATAAAACCCCAAAGACTGTGATTGTACCATTGTCTCTAATGGCCAAATTGTTATGCAAGCATGTATGACCTCTGTTAAAGGTTCGATTCCAAATGATCGCTTGCAAAAACACTGGGATCTGATGAATAGTTAATTCGTTTCTCTTTCGTAAAACACGTCTTGCAGGTCAATAACATCACCTCATATTATCATCCCATTTAAACAAAAGTGTGTTCGTCAATTTAGAAACTTGCAGTAGAGTTTTCTCTGCTACCGGTGCTCAAAATTATGGGACTGCATGGTTGCCATTGATAACCATCGATCAATCATATATACCTCGGACTAGTTTTCCAAGCGACCCCAGAAATTCCAGCGCCGAAAGATAGTTCTTAGTCCCCAAGAGGAGACTGGAGTGAGGAGTCAAAATACAAAATGATTAGACTTACCCCCAAAATCGTTGATGCTGTAAGCTGGCTGTTCTATGGTAATCTGCATGGCAGTTGTTCCGTAAAATATCTGAACTTTTGCAACATTTTGTCTAGAAATTGAAAGAGGTTTTATAGAATAAATGTTAGCGATTCACACTCCTGTAAAGTGTTGCCAATGGCGGGTGTGCAAGATATATGGGGGGTGGGGGGAACCTGTTCTGTTTTTCGTATTTTATTGTAAAGAATTGAACTCCTGCAAGCAGTAAGTGAGTTGGTACCAATGATTATCTGTCTTCACTCACAAGTTAGAGTGAAAAGAGCTTCTACATCCGTTAGTTTCGGTTATTTCAGTGTTGTTTTTTTCCCGGGTCAGTTTTCAGTTTTTTTCAAGCACGTTCTTCTTACTGCATTCTAGGTTATTGACGGTTCTTTGATTCATACGACTGTTCTTTACACCCTATTCAATATCAGTCTTGCGCTAAGATTTTGACGTTGCATAGTATCAACTACAATTTCGTGGATTGAGGTTACAAGGGTAAAGTGTCTCACCTAATTGTATCTTGAAAATTGCCTCCGTCCCCTTCCGAGCCTTGACCTGTAGAAAGCATAAACTTTTTGAATGCCGCGGTTGTATTATAGGTTTTGGATGGAAAAGTAGAACTGAACACCTGTACATCATATGAGACTTTTTCACATTCCAGGGGACATTCACAACTGGTACTATCCAAGAGCAAATTACCTGCAGACACAAAACAGAAGAATTCAAGGATGGGCAATCAGTTGGCTTGATTTTCGCCGCTCTCTCGAGTCTTTGAGAGGGAGGAACGTAGACCGAACAGCGGCTGGTTATCAAGCCTAGGCATTCAGCCGCGAGCTACTTTTGCGATTTCAGAAATATCTTAGTCCTTGGCTCGCCTTCTTCTTTTCTTCGAAACACCTTGCGCACCAGCTTGAACGAATCAATTTGTTCAGTTGTCAGGGGAAAAGTCAAGGCGAATAGTAAATTTATTATGACATCGAAACTAAACGCGATAGCGAGAACGCTGGCACTCAATCAATCAATCAATCAATCAATCAATCAATCAATCAATCAATCAATCAATCAATCAATCAGTCAATCATTCAATCATTCAATCATTCAATCATTCAATCAATCAATCAATCAATCAGTCAGTCAGTCAATCATTCAATCAATCGTCAGTCAATCAATCAATCAATCAATCAGTCAATCAATCAGTCAATCAATCGATTTGTCAATCAATCAATCAGTTAGTCAATCAATCAATCAATCAGTCAGTCAATCAATCATGTCTAACGCTTGACAATAAGTAAAAGCAAACTCGTTCTCGATAAGCAAACTTATCATTGATTAGCGCTGGAAAGCATGAGCCCTTCTAACAACAATGCACACAAACTATTTCGTTTATTATTACTTCCTCTCTAAATATTGTAATTTATTTCTTGTTTATACTTTTTGTCAACAGTATGAAAACAATCTGACAAAAGTTTATTTTCCGATTTGATTCCTTCCTTACTTTCAATATCTCCCGCACAAGAGACAAATTCTTTTGGTCCACAATACCTGGTAGCGTTCAGTTCATCTTTAAATAAAGAAAAAGACAGAAAAATGCATCATTCCCTTATGATACAACAGTAACGAGGGCCTGCCATGTGGGCGGGGCGGGGTGGGGGGGATGCCATGTTCTCTTGATCCCTTGAAAATTTCACTTTTTCTCCCTTGTCCCTATAAATAAATTCCATTGTTCCTTAAAGTTTTTTTCTCAAAGTTCCCTTTAATAGAGGCGACATTCCTTTATTTTCCCCTCAAATTAATCCTAAAGTTATCCGTTGTTCCCTTGAAACAAATGATCATGTTTCCTTGTTCCCCAAAATCCCCTGGGAGGCCCTCAATAATAAATTGTGGAACGTGTCACTCCTTTACAAATCGATAGATTGCACAACTGAAGGTTCACGTGGTAAAAACTAACAAGCTCCTCATTCGAGTGGCTCAAACGCCTTGGCGGTAACTCCTGTTTCTTTGCTTTGGAGTGGTTAGCAGTATTGAGGACTTACCTGGATGGGATTTTAATCCATCAAATGCTACTTCACTACGTTTTTTCATGTGACTTAACAAATCCACGATACCCGTGTATATTCTAGGGTGGGAAGGGGCACTATGAGAGTATATGCGGGGGCCTTGCAGTTGAAAGTGTCAAGAATGCGGGACGGTGACACCGGTCAGGCCTCGAACTCGGACCGCTAAATCCGGAGTCCAGCGCAACCATTAGACCACTGCGCCGCAGATTAAACACAAATATATATCAAACATTTATATAATCTATGCACTACCTAACAGATCCGTCCCTAATAACCGGCAATGACATTTATCGACCACAGTTCTTGTCAGGCACTCAAAGAAGCAGGCACTGTGGGAGTAATTCTGGAAATACCTGAGCTGCTTTTCTCCACATCTTGACTTGTATGGAGTTGGCAGACGAATAATCTGAAATCATGTATGAATTAACCTTTAATTGCACATGTACTAAAAAGTGATAAAAATAAATAATTTGGATTTTTCTTACGTTCTTTAATTTTACTTTTAATTATGTACAAGTTTGAATAATGAATTAGAGACCAGTGAATTACTGTCTTTTTATTTTGTTTTGTTTTCCTCCCGTTTCCTTTTTTTATTATTATTTTATTTCTTTTGTTTTACTTTTCGGTAGTGTGGAGCTATTGCAATTATCCCTGTCTTCTAAGAAATAATGTACATAAAGTGGGTATCATAAATAGAAACCTGATAAGTCTCCATAATTATGAAGGAATAAATTACGTTGGAAAGAAGCAATGTCTACATGCCAAAAAAACTTGAGTTTAATCGGACCAACCCATTGTTCGAGAACAGTTATAATCGTCTGCAGCGAAGAACCTGTAAAATCTCTTCGCTCTTTCAGAGCGGAACAAACGTTCAACACGGCTTCAATACCGAAAGAGTTGGTTAAAGCCATCTTAATGATATGAATCGTTTTCTCAGTGATCTAAAAGAATTTCGAAAAGTAAAAAACAAAAATACGGCATGGCGCGTTTGACGAAAGGCCTGCTCTCAAACCACGTATGTCAAATAATAATAATTGTTTTTCTAACATGCTGACATGTTTTTAGTCCCTACGTACGTCCTCTGTCTGTGATCTTTCCGACGTAATTTACTCCTCCATAAGTTATCTAGAAACTGATCCGCCTACTTCTCTGTTTTTCGCCGCTTTATTTTTGACGTGATCCAAGAATTATAGCCCACTTTATGAAGAGCAGTGTCCAAAAAGCAGGTATACTACTCTTGCCAACCTTATATTCCTAGTAATCTGCTGTAAGTGACTTTTCCTATCGCTTGATATCATTCACGACGATTGTGCAAATTAAAATTCATTCTTCTGGAAACTAGCGCCATCTGACCTCGGATCTATTATTTTCCCTCGACTTATCAATTATCTTTATCTATCTGTTAGTAGTTATAACAAAAAAAATAGGTATGAGTCGCTGTTGTTGATCAAACTTTAAAAAAAAAGTTTATGTAAAATTAAATACCTGCTGAGGCAAACAGTTTTACTGATTATCTTAAGGTTTAGAGCCGCCAGTTACCTCCAAGAATTTAATTTTTTTCCATTCCTCACGCGTACTGCCAAATGCAGTAGAACTCGCATTTAGCCTGAAAGCCTGATTGAGTACCTTGACCTATTCCTTACAGATAGGAACATAATTAAAATACTATTGCTTGTTTTGCTTTCGTGCTTGCTGCGTTGTGACAGCTGAGAAAACTTTCTGACCCAATTTGTTGAAGAACTTTTTGTCTCTAACATAAAGGTTCATTTTCATCATCTCGTAGGTTCACGTGCAGCTGTACGTTGTGAATTTGCATAGAGTAAAATAAACTAGCAATTGTATGGACGTCTTTAAAAAAATAAGAGAAAGAGTTATTTATGGAGATCAATAATTTTGGTAGATATGAACTAACTGAATTAAACTGGATTTGTTTTGGATTTTCTTCCCGCGGACAGTGATAATCAATACCTTGTGTCGTTTGATGGGAATTGCAGCCAAAATCCCAGGCGAGATGTCCATCCCGTGGTTTTCAACATCTGGCCATTCGTTTTGATCGTGAATCAACACACGAAACCCGGTACTGTCTGTGCTGTACGGCCCGTAATACTGATTTGGTTGCGCCATTAGGGAGAGAATCAACGCATTCGCTCTACCAGCCGCATTTATAAGACGTGATGGATATCCTGGCTTCCCAGAACTGAACGTATAGCACAGGCCACGCTAGCGGAAAAGGAAAAAAATATATATATGGAAACAAATACATTGCAAAATTGAGAGCAATTCGTAAATGTGTTTTCTTAACTTCAAAAAGTGCTTTAGTGCCTGTGCAAAATCCCCTGAAAAAGGTCATTCAACATGAAAACTATTCCAACCACAGTGATTATGGGTACTGTTCGCTTCCGTGCCGAGTTCATGCTTTCAAGGAGATTTGGAACTGTCCTTATAACCCAACTTATGAATTAGAAATAAAAAAGGTATGCTCAATATCTCTAATGTTTCATAAAGATTTTCATCTAAATTATTCTTTTATTAGTAAGTATTTAGGCCAAAGTGTATAGCAACACGTTTGAAAAAAAAAAAAAAAAATACCCAATTAACTTTACCTTTGGAAACACTGCGCTGAAAAATTCATTTGAGGAACAAGGTTTCTGCTGAAAAGTACAATCCAAAAGCATCTCTGATATGTTATGGCCCGCCTCCCTCACTACCTTGTCGAGATCCAAAGTAAATGTCTCATTGCTATCGTTTATCAACTTCTCTTTTGAGTGCACTTTCGCCAAGCTGTCCATGAATATCTGCGCCTCTGTTCCAATGATTTTATCTTTGCGAAGCATGTTAAGGTTGCAAACTGTTACGGCCGGAAACGGGATCAGTTTATCGCTTTGATGCTCCCTCGTGGTTACAGTATCTTTTGCAGCGAGCTTGCCGTACCTTTCAATGCATAGCGAAATTAACAAGCCAGCCCCTACAACCACCAAAATAGCCCACAATATCCGCCGGATTAACATGAATGGACCTGCTACAAAGTGAAGGCCGTGTAGAGTGGTATATGAAGCAAATTCACTCAGCAGTCCGATATCCTTTACATCACTTGTCTCTGAACTTTCACCTTCTTTCTCCTCCGGGTTGATTTGAACATCAGTCGTCATTTCCTCCAGGCTTTGAACAGACCTGCGCCTTTAAATTATTAAACCTTTAAATCTTGTTGACGTTGCTGTTGGCTTTGAAGTATTCTTAAAACAAGAAGCCTGTAAAATCTTGCAGTTGTATATTCATTACGGATTGACTGCCTGCACTCGCTTTATTCGAACTGAAATTTGGGTGTTTCCGATTTGACGATTTATCATGAATATTTAATCGCGTTTAAAATTAAGAAAAAGCGTTGAAATGGCTTCCCAGCTGTTAAAGGTACACAAAGCTTTTTTTTTCGTAATTTAGATAGCTCAGAAGCAACATGGTATAAGATCAAACAACTGAATCCCATGTTTCATATCATGTTTCTGCCTCGAATGAGGTCAACCTACTACTTCAGAATTGGAAAAATCGTTGAAACCAGGATTCGTTTTTCTCTATCACTGCAGGTGCAGCAGAGCGAAGTGGCATACTAATCTGGGCAAGAGCGGGAAATGTTTATCCTTGCTGTGTGTGTTTACAGTCTGTCTCGTTTTCATGTCTCATCAGACATTAACACGAGACTTCAGTAGGTTGCGCGTTGAGAGACGTTGAGTTACAGTTGTGACGTTGCATTCCCTCTTCAAATGCTCTTCCAACGCTCTTCAAACAAAGGCTACAGACAAACACGTTAAGACCTCTGTGTCGACTTCTTTATCTAAAGCTAATACAAATTCTTAATTTAAGAGCTTCGAGTGTTGAGTACTGAGATCCAAAATTTTGAACGAATGTGCGAATGATCAAAAGCTCCACACGATGTATTAAAGAAAGGAAACGGTAAGGAAAACGCTGAACTTAGAACTTAGATTCTGATGGGTCATTATAACCACTCTTTATCTTTTGATGCTACATTCATGGTATAAAAACACTGCTTAATCATTGGTGAACACGTTGTTATCAATTTGGTGACACAATAGGTTACCATAGCAGCAGTATGACCGGCCAAAAACACCCTTTATTTCAGCTTTAGGGGCTTATACTTCAAAAACGGTAAGGTAAATTTTTTTTGTATTATCAATTTTGATAAGCATGATAAAACGCAACTTTTGGCGAAGTTTTTTAAAACAACTGTACATAGGGTTCAGAGCCACCTTAAATTTTCAACACTTTAAGGTGGCTCTGAACCCTATTCACAGATTTTTTTTTAAACTTGGCCAGAAGTTGCGTCTTATTATGCTTATTAAAATTTGATAATATATAAAAAAATTTTCACCGTGCCGTTTTTGAATTGTAAGCCCCCAAAAGCTGAAATTAAGGGTGTTTCTAGCAGGTCATACTGTTGCTATGGTAACCTATTGTGACACAAAATTGATAAAAACGTGTTTACCAATGATTAGGAAGTTTTGTGATACCATGATTGTAACATCAAGTAATAAAAAGTGGTTACAATGACCCATCAAAATATAACTGCTGGAAACTGTTCTGAGCCACCTTAAAGTGAAATGTAAAATTAAAAAGTTAATAACAGAAGGTAAAAATGGGCGAAAAGAAGAAAGTAAAAGTTGTCCTTGCGTCTGTGGGGACTCGAATCCGCGACCTCTTGGCTAAGAGCTATCATCCGTAGGAAAAAAAAAGATGGCGATTAATACATTTACCCATTATTCTCAACGCACGAAAACTTAAAAAACGCTCATAAAAACATGTAGAAGAGTTCGAAAATCCGGAAACCGAGTATACACAATATCGTTAGCATAGGGACAAATATTGCAAAAGTATGGCTTTCCTTGTACTTTATGGACTGTGTAAGGCTCGTATGGCATTGTGGTAAAGTTTTTTTCCTATAGAGGATTGTGATTCCATTGCGCCGCGTCAGCACTCACGTGATCCTGCTCGTGAAGAAAATCATTTATAAATCAAGCATGTATTGAACTGCTTAATTATCCAACTACCACAGCAGACTGAAGTGAAGTCGTGTAAGTTCAGTCAATCGTTCTTTATCATTGTTTTTTTTTTTGACCGTGCGAATAGCTCGTTATTAATTGAATTAATTGAGTTGACACTGTTTACTCGCTAAGTGATTTGTTTCATGATCAGTGGAAATGTTTCTGATTCCCAGATAAGTTTAGACCTTATAAACACTCTTTCATCACATTTTTTCTGAGTTCAGCAGCGGTTTATTGCCACTTGTATTATTTTATGTAGCATTTCCTTATCAACTTTTTCAGAATGATTCTGACATATGCATTTTGATTGACATTTTCCGCTTTGAAAAACACACGTATTTCTAACAACCGTGGAATCTTTGTCGCTGATTTCGGGGGGCCGTTATTTTCAAAACCTTTACACTAACTGCTTGGAAAACACTGTCTAACGGCAAGACTTAAAAATAGCTCGCCTGGGCAACTGGCTGTTTGACAAATAGAAAATGTAATTGGATGGTGGAATTCTCGGTAAACTTCAGCTGTCCATCTTTCCTGATGTGTGGTGTCGGGCACAAAGACTGACAGTTCAGGTTATTATTCATTGTTCTCTTTCAATTTTAAGTGTCTTTGCTTTGCATCATTTCACAAGCGCAGGACAAGATAAAGTCTGTTTGTACTGTTCATTTCTCGTGTGCAATTTCAGCAACTAAGGTAGGTCATTCCCTCTCTCAGTACTCTATAGCTATCTTCCTTTGTGCTTCGTACACTCTACTTACATAAAGCAAGATTACTTCCCCAGTGAGAATGAGTCTTTAGATTAGATGGTTTGAATCCCTTTTGGATCGCTTTAAAGATCAATAATCAGGTTTTTTTTTCAAGCTTAACCAATTGGCTGTATGAAGTTACTTTTACAAAGTTGCATTTAACTAACTTGTAGATCTTTTGATGTACTTCTAGAAAAATCTAGGTTAGTGCAGTATGAGCGAGGTGTGTGCATGTTAATTACGGAATGATCTTATAATTTAAACATGGATCGCTGGAACAATGGAGGCGAATACAAACTGATTCACAACTATCCTTCATTTCCTTAGAAAGTGGAATGGCCTTATGTTAACAACTTGAAAACCTCTCTCATAGAGATATCTATTTTTTTCTTGTAACTTTCTCCGAAAACATTATTGCGTAGTTAAGTTTTCCATTCGAGTCTTAACTTTTTAAAACTGCATCTTTTCGGGTCAATGTCACGAGTTGTGTTTTAATAGTCAGTCCGCGAATAGATATGGCAGGCTGACTCAGGCATTAATCTGTTTTTCAAAACCTGACAGCCTTCAATCTTGACTCACTTCCAGTTCTTTGCTTTTGTCCTTTTGAAAACCTCGACTGTTGCCTCGAGGCTGTGATTGAGACCAGCCGCGTTAGCAAAACCATGTTTACTTAAATGTTCTTATTTTACGTCACTGTATCTGTGTCTGCCATGACACCGGGCTTGAGATAAAAGTAATAATAACTTCATAAATCATAAAAAAAAAAAAATAATTACAATGTGTCTTCAAACGGCCAAAATTGCGACAAAAACGGATGAAAACGACATAGTCCAGGCTGAATGAATAATCTAACGATCTCTGAAGCGTATCACAATTCACTTTATTAATACATCGCTTATGTCAAAGAAAAGTAAGTTCTCGACTAATCAGGGACGTTA